AAAAAAAAAAAGCTGTCCTTCCGACTCACCTGCTTCCCTCCCGCGGGCCAGAGCAGGCGCCGTCTTCAGGGGAAGGGTCCCCAAGGCCTCCCTCTTAGGTCGACTGGACCCAGGTCGGCCGGAATCAAGGCCCGCCGCCATCTAGGTCGCTGGGCTTGGGGCGGCGCAGTGTCTTTCCTCTCCGCGCCCCTAAGACCACTCGCAACTGGTTCTTGTTTCCCTTCAGCGGACCCTCAGGCTCATTACGGAAGACTCAAGAACCATTTCCCAAGAGATGCGGGCTTGCTGGGGAGGCCTTTCCCCCGAGTCCCGTGTGCCTGCCCCGAATTACAGCCAGCATCGTCTAGTTTTGGAAGCCGGTGCCCCAGCTAGGCCCAAGCCTCTGCAAAGTGCTTTCTGTAGCCCTGAGCTTGAGGCGCGGCCCCCTGTGCTTCAGGGTCCTTTGGGGCTTTAATGCTCCTTACTACAAGCCATTCTCACCTCCAGTCTGAGTTTAAGTACTGGCTCCCTACCCCACCTGCACCACTTCTGCTGGAGCTGGCAGCTAGACTATCGGGACCTTTAGAGCCACCCCTCTAGGCAGCCCCTAGGGGTGGGGGTGCGGGTGGGGGCGCTGAGGCTGTTGTGTTGTCCGGCCCTCCCCAGGAGGCCCAGGAAAGCGCAGCTCGCTCCCACCTCTCAGGATCTCAATTCCCCTGTGGTCTAATGAGCTGTTCTTGGGAACTAAAATAAGCACTTATTCAGCAAGTGTTTCCTGGGCATACACTATGATGGTGAACTGACCCCCAACTTCTGGTTGTTCCAGCTCCAACGATTACAAGAGTGTTAACTGGGGTAACCTTTCTGTGCCTCAGTTTCCTCCTTTATAAAATAGGGCTAATTGCATCTCCCTGGCAGGGTCGTTGTGAGGCTTCGAAGAGTCGACAAATAAATGTAAGCCACTTAGAAGCCTTTTGGCACATAGTTTTCAGTGATTATTAGCTTTGAGCAATTTTATTATCATTTTCCAAGGACTTGTCCCTGAAATCCCGTTAAGGCTGAAATTGTTGATGTCTAAAGAGGTGGTTTAGAAAAATATTCACTTTCAGACTAAACTAAATAGCAAAAGAGGAGAGGAAGGTGGTGGAAAGTTGTGGATGACCAAAAAATAGAAAGAAAAATGTCAGAGAGAGGAGACAAAATGAACCAACGTGGAAGTAATCTAAGAGAAGCAGAGAAGATGCTGGTGGTGGGATGGGCAAGGTCAGAGGTGCCTGGCACTGTGATAAGAATATTGAGGGCAGAGCAAGTGTGGTACTCACTGGGGGAGGGGGCAGTGAATTTGGGAGCTCTTTGAATAATTTATTCCTACGTGTTAAAGAATGAAAGAGGACCAGCCAAACTGAGAGAAATTTACTTACATATTCATCTTGAATTTACCAAAAGCTGATATCACCTGGGCCACTTCATCATTTCCCCACAAAGCATCCTTTTTAGTGAAAGAGCAGATATTACTCCTTACATCTTGGGGAAAGGGCCTATTTAATAAATGCTTACGGACCAGCCTACTACGTGCAAGGCACCAGAGGAAGGCCTAGGATACACAGTCCTGTTTATGCCATAGTCTCTGAGGACCGGGCTTGGTAAGGCCTGAATTCTGCAATGACACTCGCTCCATCTTCAGCCCCCGGGACAGTCATCCTTCCAAGGAGATTTCAGGAACCCAAGCATGAGGCAGGGCTGCTGCAGGGGATCAGAGAAGCAGCCCACAGTGTGTATGGCTTCAAGCCGAGTCACTGGCAATTTGCACAAAGGACTTACAGACTATCTGATTCCATCTTTCCCACCTCCCAGAGAGGTAGAGTTCTTTCAGACTAGGAACTGGGACCGGGTGGTTTACTAATGTGCTCACCACCGACAGACAGTCGCCGGTTGATGCTAAGGCTCTGGAGGCATCTCCCCGGGTGCACGCGTAGCGGTAGGACCAGAGGACCTGGGTTATTCCCGCGGCCGCCCAGCTTCCAGGCCAATTTCGGATACGGCAGCCGCTCAGCCTGGGAGTCCCGGGCCCTCCTCTGCCCCGGACTCCCCGAGAGCCTCGCGAGCTTCTGACACCCGCGGGGACTTCGGGGATTCCTTCTCCACCCCAGAGCGGGTGCCAGAGAACTGCAGGTGCTGGCCACGAGGCCCCGAGAGGACGCGCGCTCCCGTTAGGCAAGGAGCGCTCCAGGTCACATTCCCCCAGCGCCGCATCTAACCCGACTTGGATTAATCAGAACCCTCGGTTTGAGGGGTGCGGAGCGAGTTGGGGGAGGGGGAGAGAGGGGAGCGCAGGACTCAGAAAAGGAAAAGTCACTCTGCCCCAGAATTCGGAAGACTAATGTCATCGACCCTGGGTAGCAGGGGCTGGCACCGACCAGGTGACCTGGACCATGATCTGGGAAGGGACTTGGGCCGCGGCGCACTGGAAAGAGGGAGGCGGGGCCGCCAGGGGCTTTGCGACGTTTAGCTTTCATCTTGGGGAGGTGGTGCAGACGCTTCCCATTGGGGTCCATCCTTCAAAGTAGCTGTACTGTTGGGGTGTCGCACAGACAGCTGAGCCTTAAGCCCCGAACACCCAGAACGGCGCACACTGGCGCGCGCCCTTCAGCGCCAGGGGAGAGGCGTCTCTGCTCGGGGACCCCGCAGCGTCGGCAATGGGGACACGGAGTCCTGGAAAGTACGCAGCGTCCGCTGAAGCGCAGCGCCCCCAGGAGGATCCAGGAGGGAGCCCCGGCTCCGCGCGCTCGTCTGCTTTCCTGCGCCCACCGGGTCCGACGCCGCAGTCCCACCCGCACCCCCGTTCACGCTCACACTTTCCTCCCCCACCGCAGCCTGAGCGCGCTTAGCTAGCCAAACCAAATCAAGAAAATCTTTTATTTTCCTCTCAAATACTTTGAAGCTACTTATACCAACAATTCTTCAAACTATTTCCCCGCCTGCCCCGCCTCCCGGTGGTCGTCTGGGGTTGCCAGGCTGCCCGGGAGCGGCCGCATCGGGCGCTTTGGGTCCTGCGAACCCGGAGGCTCAGGCGCCCCCCCGGGGGGGGGCGTGGCTGGCCAGCCCGGGCCGCGTCTCCCCCTCCCGCAGCAGGGCTGGGGGGGCCTGTGGGGGTCAGGGGTGACCAAGGGGCCTCGGCCGGCCTGAGGGACAGTCCTCCCGGGTGAGTCAGGTGCAGACTCGCCCCCAACACCCAAGCCTGGCTGCAGCTTCGGGCTGCCCAGGGAAGGAGTGGCCGAGTCAGGGGGGCCCAGGGAGAACGGACGCAGGCTTGCGGCTCGGGGTCGCCCCCAGGACGGCTGTCGGGCCCGATTTGGTCCCCGGTCCCCTAGAGGGCCTGCCACGGCTTCCCGATGGCCTGGATGTGCTCCTTGGCCTTCAGGCGCAGCGCCGCGATGCTGCTGTTGCGCGGGTCCGCCTCGTCCAGCGGGA